TGGTCTTCATTGGTCTTCATTGTCCCTGCTCCTGGGCCATAATTGGTACTTGGTAATGCTTATCAAATTGAAGGGATTGAAATCAAAGGGCAACAGATATTAGAATCTGATTCAATAAACCAAGTAAAATTAGGCTTTTATTTGTTGTTGTTGTTGTTGTTGTTAATGCTCACGCAAAATTCAAATCTTGCGTGAATTTTGGGACACTATATATATATATTTTTTTTTTTTTTAAAGGTAGGATCAGGGTAAAGACAAATGAATTATTGGGTAGAAATGTTTGGGCTTAGTTTAATAAAGAATTCCCTAACTTTTAGAGTTGTTCAACAAAGGACAAGCTATCTTGGATGGTAGTCTTCTCCTAATTGCTGATAGAGGACTTTAAATAGAGAAAGGCATAGTATAAGCACAGCAGGTATTCATGTGTGTTGAACAAATAATAAATGATGACTGCCTACAAAGATTAATTACAGAAAACAATGACATACTTATTGAGGATGTGTCATATGTCAGGCATGCTCTAAGCACAGTATACATATTATCTCATTTAATCTTTATAACAACAATATCGATAGGGTGGCAAAGATTGCTAATTGTCCTCAAAATTTGTTATCATTTTCTTCAATAATAGAACCACTAAATTTTAGCCAAGCAGATACTCCCCCTTTTTTTTAAATATATATTTTTATTGGTTTCAGAGAGGAAGGGAGAGGGAGAGCAAGAGAGATAGAAATATCAATGATGAGAGAGAATCATGGATCGACTGCCACCTGCATACCCCCTATTGGGGATCGAGCCCGAAACCCGGGCATGTGCCCTTGACTGGAATCGAACCCAGGACCCTTCAGTCCGCAGGCTGACACTCTACCCACTGAGCTAAACCAACCAGGGCCAGATAGTCCCTTTTTTATTAGTTTCACTTAGAGCTAGCTGTAGCCAGGTGACTAAGTTACTGCTAATGAAATACAAGCCAAAGTGGTTTGCAACTTCTGGGAAGTGTCCTTGAAAAGACAGGGCATGCCCTTTCCTCCTCCTCCTTTTCTTTTCTGCTGGCTGGAGGGAAGGCATGATGCCTGGAGCTTGAGTAGCCATATTACACCATGAGGTGAAGATGAGAACGGATGCCTTGTGAAGTATGGTTGCTACCATACTTCATTTACCCCGTGAATCACAGGACACCTCAAGAAGTCGAATTAAAGAGTCACATTTATTGCAATCCGGGACTATGAGGGGTCATTCCCAAATCTGATAGTCCCGGACTGTAATAAATGCGACTCTTTAATTCGACTTCTTGAGGTGTCCTTCTGTGATTCGCGGGGTATGTTACAACACTTGCATATAAAAAAACAAAAACAAAGTAGAAGCCTGGGTGCTTGTTTCCTGGAGTATAAGGGAAAAAACAAATTCTATCTTGTTTAAGCCACAATTATTTCAGGTTTTCTGTCATTCGCATCCAACTTTTCCCAATAAAGGTGAGTACTATTATCATCCCCCTTTTATGGATAAGGCTCAGAATATTTGAGTGACATATTTAAGAGTACAGACATGTGATATAACAAAAAGGCTGTATAGAAAATTCATGCATTGCAGGGAAAGTTAGATTCATTAATTCCTAATGTGTTTCCAATTTTATGTTCCTAAACCAAATGAAATCCTTTGTGTCATAAAGAATAGTTAAATTAGAAAAATATTTAACACAAGCGTATTGTCTTTTCTGATTGTGTGTTGGAAAGAGGAAGGGTTTAACAACAACAAAAACTATTTTATCAGACAACTGTCAAATATTTGTTATGCACCAATATATTCTAGAGTTCAGGAGACAAGATGGCCACGAACCAAGATTAATAAAGCTCTGATGGAGGGGTCCTTTACAGAAAGGTAGCAATTACTTGTATCCATAGAGGAGAAAAGAGACTTTTGGCAGAAGGAACAATATAAAGAAATATAAAGAGGTAGAAAAACACAATGCATAACTATGAATTAATCTGAAGTTCTAGGAGAACTATTCATCTAATTAAACAAAGTGAAAATTTCTCAGAAATTTCACTATCATGGAAAAAAAATACTAGGTAAACTGGTATTAGAATTTAGCAGTTCTATTTGAATCTTTACACTTACAGTTTTATAGAGTCCCTTTGAGTATCTCATGTATGACAAACAACCAGCCACAGTTATTTACTTATGCATTCTCTTCCCTAAATCCCACTCTGCAAAGAGATTAAAGAAAACATTTTGTCTGCACAACCCTTTCCTCCCTACCACATGCACATATTGTGCACAGTTGTAAGTTTGCACACCCACACCCAAACCCTACATGATGAGTCAGTCTTCACTCTTTCTTCACCACTGGCTGTCTGCTGTTCCACTCCCTCGGGAGGACTTCCTTTCTCTGAACTATTGTGATGGAAATTCCATAACTCACAAAGAGACAAAGCTTTTTAAAACATTCCCCAAAGACATTGGCTTACTAATCTGGGTCCTTTTCCAAGACCCCAAAGACTTAACCCTTCATGACTTCTACTCTCTTTATTAGAAAAGTTTCAGCCTGGGATGCAAGCCTTGTGACCCAGAGATATCCTAATCTTTATACTCTGTATATATTAGATATCAGGAGTTGACTAGTAGGTTGATTATTTCAAATATTTTTGAACTAATACACTGATAATAAAGTAAAATGGAGGATCACAAAAAAGTTTGTTTATAACAGGTTAATTCTCAGTTGTAAAATTTACAAAGGAAATCCTCACTATAAACACAGTCTCCAATTAACTTGCAAAGAAAGTTTTACTTCTTTCTTTCCAAAATGTGTACCTTTTATTATCTTTTCTTGCCTTAGTGCACTAACTAGGATCTCCAATATTGAAGCTAAAATAAGTATGAAGAGCACACATCCTTGTCTCATTCTCAGTCTTAGAGGGAGAGTATTCAATATATCACTATTTATTATGATGTTAGCTCTAGGTGTCTTATAAATGTCCTTTATTAAACTGAGATGTTCCCCTGTATTTCTAGTTTGCTAAAGTTTTTTTTTTTTATCACAAATGAGTTTTGCCCAATGCTTTTTCTGCATTTATCGAAATGACCATATGGTTTTTCTCCTTTAATAGGTTAACATGGTAAACCATATTGATTGATTTTCAAGTACCGAAACAATCTTGCAAATTCATGGAAAATGTAAAGGAACTAGTGTAGCCAAAATATCTGCAACCATGGCCTAATTTCAAGACTACTACAAAGCTACAGTAATCTTGACATTACTGTGTGTTACTGACATAAGGATAGAAATTTAGATCAATGGAATAGAACAGAGTCCAGAAATAGACCCACACATATACATTCAATTGGCTTTTCATCAAAGGTGCACAGGTAGTTCAACGGGAAAAGGACAATCAATAAATAGTGCTGGATCCAAATAGAAAAATAACAAACATCAACTCCTACATCAAATCAAACATAATAATTAATTCAAAAATGGATTATATATCTAAACATAAACTTCTAGAAGAAAACAGGAAAAATGTTTATGAACTTGGAATACAGAAAAATTTCTTAGATAAGTCACAAAAGGCATTAAGTCATTTTAAAAAAGTAAAATGACCCTAACTGTTTTGGCTCAGTGGGTAGAGTGTCAGCCTGCGGACTGAAGGGTCCCAGGTTTGATTCCAGTCAAGGGCACATGCCTGGGTTGCAGGCTCAATCTCCATTGTGGGGTGCGTGTAGGAGGCAGCCGATCAATGATTCTCGTTCATCACTGATGTTTCTATCTCTCTCTCCCTCTCTCTTCCTCTCTGAAATCAATAAAAAATATATTTTTAAAAAAGGGTAAAATGGACTTAATCAAAATTTAAATCTTCTGCTCTTCAAAAAAATTTGCATTAATAAACAAAGATAGGCCACAGATTGAGAGAAAATATTCATAATGCATGTACCTGAAAAAGTCTTATATCCAGAATATATATAAAATAATTCTTAGAACTCAATAAGCAGATAACAACCCATTTTTTTAAACAGACAAAAGACTTGAATATACACTTCACAAAATAATATATGTG